GTGTAAGAGTTATGATATTTTTTGACGATATTTTGAACCTGAATCAGACTTATAAGTTATCAAATACAAAAAATAGGTGTTTTTATCATTAAAAATATAACATATTATAAGGCTAAAATAAAATCTCACATTGTATGTGTGAGTATATGTGTACTCGTTATTTATCATTTATATAATAAAATAACAAATTTCGAGCCAACTTATTATTATTTGTATAATTTATATAGATAACATTGTGATTTGTGATACATGATACATGTATAAAAATATAAAATTTTAAAAACAATACATTTTTACAGATGGCGACTAAAACATTTGCAGTATTTATTATGGTTTAATCAGTTATGGAACTAAATATTCTAATATGATTTGAAAATAAAAACGCTGTACAATACTTACTATATAACGTTGTAAGAATTCATTATCATATAGTTCATACTACGAATGTCACTGTTCACTATAATATAAACAAACTCTATAAACTTGTCGATGCGGGCGATGCGGCCAAATCTAAGTTTTTCATAATTGGTAGTTGATGGAGTTGGTACCATGATTGGAAAAACCATGTAATTATCCTTCGTCGTTTAATAGAGACCAACAAGATTCGTTGGCAGATATGTCACCTGCAGTCATCGACAAGTAGAGCCCGGTAGAAATTATGACAAAACTATATCAATAAATTTCGTTTTTGAGTTACTCGGTCGAGTATGATTACTCTTATGGTAACATTTGTTGTAGAAGTTACCTGCATAGTTGAGAAAACATTCCACCAAAACTTTGCCAACAAACTTTTTTGTCATGAAATTATTTTGAAATATTGTTGTATAGCTTATTATCATTTATTTAAATATTTACAAAAGCACATTATAAATCGAGTTTAATTATTATAATAACAGTATAATTTGATCAAGATTTTTATTGAGACTTACAAAAAAAAATATACATACATACATACATATATATATATATATTATTGCATCAAGTTCGGTTCGAGTGAAAAATATTTAAAATAAAATTCCTAATAAGGCACTCTTTCTCTATCACACACTTATTTTAAAAGGAAAATTTCCAATGCAAATTTATATTCCATAATAAAACGGTAGCACTAAATAGGTCTTATTATTGATTTGTGCATGAGTTTTATTAGCAGGTGTAAACGTGTAGTGATTTTGTTTTTCGACTGTTTGGATTTGAATAGCAGTGGACTTATATAAACAGAATTTTGACAAAACTACAACTGTGTTGTCAACTTCAATCATTAAAATTACTATACTTTTTTGGAGAATTAAGTATTATATGTGGCATGAATCTGCAAGGGTTAAGGTTACTTTTTTTCGGGGACCTCAGCGTGAATAAAAAACGTGTGGGAGCATAAATAATAAAATGTTGTGTGGTGTAGAAAATGAACTTTTTACACACACTCACGCGTACACAACAATAATATAGACGCACCGAGTGCGGTCGATCGCGATGAAACGCTCTGTGGGCTGGGGAGAATTATTATTATCGAATCGCAAAGGTCGCGGGCAGAGAAAATTCGAGAATTTAATCCCTGTCGGGGAGGCGCGACGGCCGCGGTTCCGTTACCGAAAAGCTACCCATACACACAATATAATGGAATTACAGACCACGCGGCGGCGGCGGCRGCGTCGACCGGATTTAAATTAGATAAAAGGCTTAATTTTAAAAGACTTTCGCGAGCCATGCGCGCGGGCTCAGCTCCGGTTAGAGCCAATCAACCGTTCCATTTATGTATCGGCGGGGAGGTTTGGTTTTTTTCCCTTCACTCTCGCACACTCGCGTACCCGTTTTTCCGCGGGGGCTGAAGCTCCGCTACCGTCCTCCAAATAAAGTCCCGGCAAGAGGGCGGCTATGATATTATACGATTTTATATTATGTACGCGACGACGATCCTGCGGCGGCGGAGAGGGTTGTCGTCGTCGTCGTCGCCTCCACCTCACCACCGCCGACGCCACCTCCGTCACAATGGGATGTGTGCTGCTGTGGTTTCCTGCTCGGAATGATGTTAAATTAGCAGAAAATCGTCGAGCCCCGCGCCCGAGCTGCTCCTTTGTCGCTCCCCGAACGCCTGCCGGCCACCGACGACCCTTTTGCATTAACATGTAAATAAAAACGTTGATTGACAACATTGTTGTGGTTCCCGTCGTGCACCCTCCTCCACTCACCTCCACTCGACGACACAAACGTAAACCCACACCCCCGTACCGATATAACAATATAATTTATATATCGTTTTGGCCGATACCATATAATATATATGTAGCTACCGTATAATTATTATTTTAAATCGTATACGTATATATAGTAGGTACAACAATAATTTATACACAATAACCGCGCATGCGATGCACAGATCGTAAGAACAGTCATTATATTTTTGAGCTACCTACTGAGCCATAAAGCTATAATCGCGACCATCCCGCGGGCAATACGAGTTTGTCAGGTATATATATATATTGACGATAACAGTTACAATATATATGACGATATTGTTGTCCGAATTATATCCGCGAACAAAAAATTTATTTAAATCATTGACTTTTTTTAGGAGATGTATTTATTATATTGGTCGGCCAATCGACCTAYAAAAATGTTTTCATAAAAAATTAAACATCTTACATTATAATCTTATAATATGCAATCAAAAATTATTTTTTAATGTTATTAAAATGCATTAAATATGTTTGATAGAAGTAATTTATATCAGTTTATATCCTCGCATGATGAGTGAGACTCAGGCGCATATAATACATAAACATAATATTAAATTAAAATATTATGAATCAAATAATGTTTGAAAATTCTTTAGAAAAATATATATCAAAATATATTGTTGGAAAGTATTTTGCATTTACAATATAATCAAAAGTAAATCATCGTTAGGTACTCCGCACCTAAACTAGATTATATTTTTTCAAACGCTCGAATTTTCCGTTAAAATAATTTGTTAACTTTTCATTTCGACATCGTGATTTTAAGGTGTTTGCTTGTTAAAATCGTCATCTTGGTATATTGTATTTAGTTATTATTTTTATTATAATAAAAACTAAGAAAAATTAGTTAGCTGCTGCGCTGTTTTCTTAAGTTTTCAAATGGAAAAACTTTAAAGTAGAAAAATGTTCTCACGAACCTGTTTACAATGTGAAAATTCCTCGTTAGGTATTCATAAAATCAAGAGACCGGAAACCGTTCCAATTTTTTACAACCAAAGAAAAAATAGTTTTTGTTATTGCCGTGTCATTTAATTGCAAGAAACAATAACTCAAATGTTCGTCGTCCTAATGAACCCTCAAATAAAAACTGTCATTATATAGATAGGCGCATTCCATTTTTTCTTGATCTATATATATATATATGTATATTATGTATTATTATTATTATTATTATTATTATTTATGCAAAAACCGTAACAATTCGTCTCGTCGATTTCCGACCCCTCCGGGCGTTCGTTTGATTGGTCTTGACAACCGAGATAAACTGAAAGATATTTCTTTTTTCCTTCTTTTTTTTCACATTTCTCTTTTGCGCTGTCTCTGCTACTCTTTCGTGTATAATATATATATACATTCTGTACAAAAGTATACCGAGTGAAGTTGAGGGTGAAAGGAATGATGGTCGTGCCTCTCGAATGTGAATTATAACCTCATTTGCATACGGGACCCTTTACCATCGTGAGTGTATCTCGTCCGAGACACTCCGTCATAAATCACATTTAGACCTTGCACTGTAACGTGAAAATATATATACAACCAAGATTATATAAACCAGGGACCAGGGTGTTTATTGGACAAATATTATGTCTCCCTAAAAATCGATTGCCGCAAACACTCACGAAACTTATATCACGAAAGCATTTCGTCTCCCATTCGTTATCTGCTGTTGTTTTTTTTTAAATAAATTAGCACCTAGTGCTGGTGGTTTTATTAAGTATAAAATATTAATTAGTATTAATATAAGATAGGTATAGTTGGGTAACTGTATACGTGATTTAGTTTTAAAACATAAGCAACTAGCAACGAAAATCGAGTAAAAAATTAAAATATAAGATATAGGTCGTCAAATTTCCGTAAAACTCGAAAGACCTGATAAAAATTATTATTTTTTTAAATATCCTATAAAAGAACAGTACTTTATTCGACGATATACGAACTTCATCGTCAAAATATGTTGACGATTCATAAATTCATTTTTGTTTAAATATTATTTGAAAACGAAAATTTTCTCAGTATTATAGATCTTATTATGTAACAAGTAGGAGTTAAAGTAACTTATTATAACAAACATTTTTTTAAGTTAGGTACATATATATATATTTAGTATACTTTGCTGAAATGTTTCTTAGAATTCATATTATGCGATGTTGGTGTATAGGTAGGTATACCAAAATAATCACCAAAATGTTTTCAAAACGAATTCAAATAAAAATAATCTCTACGAATAAAGTTTTCAGCAGACATTTTTATTTTTACAAAGATTTAGGATTGAATTGTTCCAGAAGTGGATTTTTTTATTATGTACAAGATGTCAAGATGTTTACAATCTGTTCAAAAAAAAGAACAATAAGCAAATTGTATAATAGTGAAATATGACAAGTATGACGGAGGAAACCACCCAATGATTGCACTACCTATTTTGAGTATTTATACACTATAGATTCCATGCATTCTTAAGAGTATATGATCTAAGAATCAGCCAGAAGGTCACGACAACAAAAAAAGTGAATTTAAAAAAAAAWAATAATAAATGATTTACTCTACAAACGACGTATTAAAGGATCAAATATGTAGTACCTATACGGCTATACCTAACAAGWGTATTACAATTTTCAAAAATTTGATTATTCGAGCTAAAACCGTCAATTTGAATTTTAAACACTTAATAAATAATATATGTTCAGAGTCAATGTGCGCATATGTCGTATCAAGTTATTATACTCAATCCATAAATTTAAATAGCTAGTTTTGGAATACAATTAAAATACCTGCACCTGGGAACGCCGTCACGCAGACTTATGGAAACACGAAGGCTGTTGTTCACGGTCGGTGTACTCGGCTACATAGTCCTATAATACATATATATCATAAACATAATATTATTATAATTATTATTACTGTTCTAGTGGTTGATGGGTGGATGGGTGTGTGTGGTTTTGGGTACCCAAAATATTCATGTGCCTGAGGTATTTCCAGATATTATTATTCGCAAAGCATAGCGCGCTTTTTTATTTAACGTCTTATCTTCACAGATTAAAATTTAAACAAAAGTTTAAAGTTTCTATTTGGTTCATTATTGTTAAAAAATTACTTGAAATTTTCAGCTCCTGTGTTATTATAGCTTATAATAATATGTACTTTCTACTGACTAGAATTTTTTCCAAATTTTCAATACGATCAATYGTAGATATAGCCGATATAGGCGTAGATAAGCACATTTGATATTTCCAACGAACACGCGTGGAATATGCCAAAATCCCTCTTCTGTATTTCTTTGTGATAACATTATATTGACTTTAAGAAGTTAACGTGAGCTATGGATAACATATATGAATAATATTATTGTTATCAACCGTTATATATTTTATTATCTATTATTAAAGTTAAAGCTTTCAACATTTTCTGTGGTTTGTTTTTCTAATGTTTTAATTTGAAAGTGGGTTATAAATGTGTAAAACATCACAGTAAGTAWTAAAAAAATGCTAACAACTCGGTTAAAAATCAAAATRTTATCTAATCAATACTCTAACCACGGAATATCTATTTTTTAGAATATAATTTTAAACCACGTGCGTGCTAATGACGAAAAAAAAATTAAACTGCGCATACATACCGATCGTAACGTGGAGGACGATCTCCAAATTGACTGCTACTATTATACAAGTCTGCCGTTTTTGCAGCATAACTCCAAAGTCTGAAGTCAAACGTATTGAGTTTAAGCCACATTAGCTAAGTTATTTTGAATTATATATGGTATCATCCGTGTTGCGGCCGGTAATTTTTTCGCTCCTATCTACAATATAATAATATCATAATTATAACAACCCGACGAAATAGCCAACGGTATAAAATACATAATACCATTATGGCATTATTATATTGAATTCACCAATACGAACGAAATCCGCGACATTAAATACTAATGCGGTCCGTGTGATGCCTATACGTAACTGCATTATAATATATTGATGTAGGTATATGTAGGACGTAGGTATATTGTATTATATACCTTTTTACGACTGAACATAATATTACACCTACCCACCTCACTCGACATATTCGTATATATATATATATATACAAGTGCCATATTCATATATACATATATACCTACCGTCGACGGGACTCGTGTTGGAAAAGCCGGGTGGGTGGGTATTAACGTGCGTGTAGAAACTCGCTGGAGCTTTACCGGGCTAAATAATAATAATATATATATTAAATATATATGTATAACTGAAGGGTGGGTAAGTGGGTTGGGGAAGGGAATTGTACAGGAATCAAAAGATATCTGGTGCCGAAAGTTGTTGTCGCGGAAGCGGGCGGGCGGACGGCCGGGGTGGCGAGCAATAAGGGATCAACTAGTATGCTAATTCTATGCAAATGCGTTGAAATACGGTGCACGAGGATTCGGAGCGTTATATCTGAAAAACAAACTCTGGCGCGGACTCTATACACAGCAGCACTCCTAGCTCTTCTCACTCGCTCTCGCCCACTCATCTGTCGATATCTCTCACTCGTTGCTCGGCCTATATCTCCCTCTGTGAAATGAGATTTTCCGATATCCGAGTGTATACCACCCCAATATCTGTTTTCCTGTGAAATTATACAATATATATATATATATATACAAGCATATATATGTACACCACCGGGTCAAAAATGACAAAAATATATTTATATATATTATATATATATAGTCGCTTGGTATACAGTTCACATTATACTTTGCAGTATACGTCGAGACTAATTTCGTTGACGATATTTAAAATATAATATAGGAATAAAAAACGTTGGGGCGAGAAAAAAGAAACGGTTAATAAATTCATATTATTATATGCGTTGTGTGTATATATGTGTATAATATTTTTCCCTCGGAGAGTGAAATAAATCCTTAATTAAAATTCCATTATTTGTCTTGGAATATAAAATAAGATTATTGTTATTAAAACGGATTTGCCGAAGTTTTAATGTACAGAAGAGACGGCCAACAGTCTTATCTCTCCAGTTTAAATTGCCAGATGGTTAAATAATAAAAACCGCAAAGTTTCCAAGCTCTTTTTTTTATTTTAGAATAAAAAYTGAAGAAAAAAAAGAGTGAATCTGTTTTGCATTTCCCGCTCGGTTAAGCTGTTTTTTCTCGCTCGCTCATCCTCGTCCGACACCTGGACAAATTTCGCGGCGTGGAGATTTTTTTCTCCCGTGGCCTCTCGCCACCGTTGATAGTATTTTGATAGCTACCATTAAGGCTGTAAGCTATATATCGAATTGGGGGGGGGACTATCGCGTGTTCGTAAATATATAGAGATATATGCACATCACTTGAAGTCTAACACGCGCGGGCAATGGATTTTATTAAAAACGGATCGTAGGGAGACCCCGGAGTTGTCGGTGGAGGAAGGGGGGTGGGAGAGTTATAGGTGCGTAGTGAGACGAGAAGAGAGATATCATAAGAGAGGGAGAGAAAAATTCGAAGACGAGAGGACAGCAGTGGTATGTAGGGGAAGTGGGTGCGAGCAAATAATATAATATCGAAATGATAACACGCGAAGCTGCAGAGCACAGCCAGCAGAAACATAATATTATTATACACTGTTACGCCCCCCATCCATCCCTCCGCGGCGTGATTAAGAGCCTAACGAGTGTTGCGGACGCTGATATATAATATCATACGTATATACACGTCGGGAAGATTATTATATATATATATATATATATAATATTTGATTATCGTTATAACGTCGTTATCATGTATATATATACAATATTATATTATAAATGTATATATATATATACGTTAGAACGATTCGCCGGGTATACCGCTGCTACCATCATCAATTGTCGAGTGGATATCCGGAACAGATATACGCGTGCAGTATCGTATTTATGTGAAGTCCAGAGTGGGTAACTGGGGAAGCGTGGGCGGACGACGACGACGACCGCGTCGAAATCGCGCTCGCGTGCTCGTTCACTCGTTCGTTCGTCGAGGAAACGTATGCGATTGAATTAAACAGTTTCTTTCGCCCTGCTGCAGACCTATGTACACACACACACACACACACACACACACACACA